ATTCCAGAAGCTGCCACTGCTCCATGTGCCACCTCTGCCTAGGACAGAAAATTGCCCTGCTATGCCTTTGCTCACCACTATTGTCTTCAATTTGATCTTATCTTATTCTCTGGTGTCCATTCAACTTTGCATCTTTATTTTCCAGCCTACAAATGCTTCCCTCTTTGATCACTAAAATAAAGACTTTACCCTCTGCTTCTCATTATGCTCCTTTCCCCATCCCAAATCACCTACGCCAATACAAATAGTCATCTTCACAGTTTATACTACCTCAGACTGGAGCATACAACCAGGAATTGTGCATCTGGATTGCTGCTGTGACATTTATAAAATGAATATCATCTTATGTTGCTGTGCACTGTAGGATGTTTGACTCAAAGATAATGCAAATTACTAGTGGAATTCGATGGAAAGATGGGTCTGATCCTTCATCTGCAACATCACTGTTGTATGCAACAGGACTTCTAGTTAGAAACAGACTTTCTAGTAGGTAAGATTCTGCCCCTTCCTCCCTCCCTTCTCCCCTCCCCCTGCCCCCCAGTTTACTGTTTACTAGTATGACCATTTTGGAGGACAGAAGATGAAGAAAGGGTGCTGAAGTGTCTGCCTCTCCCAACACCTGGCACACTTAAGTCACCTCTTGTCTCTCTGACTCAGGTTTTGCCTTCACTGCCAAAAATGATGTACATTTGCTGTGGGCTGACTAGTGTGGGTGAGCAACTCTTGTGTAAAAACATGTTGGAACAAGGGTCTGTAGTGTTACCATATAGTAAACTGTGTCAGATCAGCATGGATGAGCATATAATATTGACTTCACCTAAATACCTCACAGTAAAAACTACAGGTGGTTTGCCTGCACTAGGAGTATACAGCTGGTTGGCTAACTTGTATTAGTTGATCCTGCTAAAAACAAGAAATGCCTTTTTCTGCAATGAAGAAAAGCCTTGGCTAAATCACAGTTAAGATACTTTCTCAAGGTAGATTGAGTGACATATTTCTGATGTTTAAATCCACTTATAATTTTAGCAGTCTCATGTTCTAAAAGAAGTAAATTAACCTGATGCAGCATTAAAATATGTTGACATCATATGAGAAAGGAAGACTTAACTAGAATACGCAGAGTGCAACAACCTCAAAGATACTACAGATCATTTACATTACATTCTTGGCACTGGGGCATGGCTGAATTCCTGTGATTTTTTTTTTCTTTTGATAGCCAGGTTCTTGAAAAACTGTTTGCAAAAATCACATTACTTTAAAAAAAAAAATTGCAAGTTATGAGTTCTAACGTCTTCATTTAAGAAAATATAGTTACCTTATAGAATCATAGAAAATTAGGATTGGAAAGGACCTCAGGAGGTCATCTAGTAATACCCCCTGCTCAAAGCAAGACCATCCCAGCCAAAGCTTTGTCTAGCAGGGTCTTGAAAACTTCCAATGATGGAGATTGCACCACCTCTCCGGGTAACTTGTTCCAGTGTTTTACTACTTTCCTAGTGAGAAAATTCTTCCTAATATCTATCCTAAGCTTCCCTTGCTGCAACTTGAGACTGTTGCACCTTGTTCTGTCATCTGACACCACTGCAAACAGTCTAGCTTCATCCTCTTTTGAAACCCTCTTCAGGTAGTTGAAGGTTACTATTAAATCCCCTCTTGCCTAGTATGCTGTTAGTCTTCTTGGCAACAAAGGCACACTACTGGCTCATATTCAGTTTATTGTCCACTGTGACCCCCAGGTCCTTTTCTGCAGAGCTACTGCCCAGCCAGGCAGCCCCAAGGCTGTATGGTACATGGGAATGTTCCATCTTAAGTGCAGGATTTTGCATTTGTCCTTGTTGAACCTTATGAGATTCCTTTTGGTCCAATTCTTCAATTTGTCTAGGTCACTCTGAATCCTAGCCTTACCCTCCATTGAATCTACTACTCCCCCAGCTTAGTGTCATCTGCAAACTTGCTGAGGGTTCACTCTATGCCATCTTCTAGGTCATTGATGAAGACATTGAGCATACCTTTGTTACCTAGGTTCAATATTTTGATTTTTATGAAGGTTTGAACATTATGATTTCCTCCTAGAACACATTTAGTCAAAGCTACAGTTATTCTGTTTTTCTAAAACCCTGATACTTCATTGTGATCTATGTGGGTATATAGCTGGGGCAGTCCATCCCTGCATAATCAGATTTAAGACAATGGCCTTTAGTTGTCAATTATTACATAACTAGCAAATTGCCCATCAAGAATGTTGGCGGGTAAGGGCAAGCAGAGACAGAGCATCGCCACCCACCACTCTGCGCCGCCGCCACCTCTCAGGAGCAGTGAGGGGAAGCATGAGTGCGGCTGCTGCTGCCACCACCACCCACCACCCCTGCTGCTGCCACTCTGCATCTGGCCCCATGCCACCCCCTACCACACTCTGCATCCATCCCTGTGCCACCCCCCTCCCCCCTGCTTCATGTCCGCCTGGCCCCTCCCATCATTCTTGCTGCAGCACTGGTTGGAACCATGCCCCCCAAGAGCATTACGGACAGACACACACTCACACAGACAGATGGACTAAGCCATTTATATATATAGATAGAAGAGAGACAGGGCTTGCTCCTCCTAAAGTTCTCTACCTCCCTGTCTTCTTCTGTCCTCCAAAACTGGTAAATTAAAAAATACTTTATATGTTTCAGTATGTCCACATTTTACAGATGAAAATTTACAGAACAAGTTAAGTGATTTATCGAAGAAGGTTAAGTTACATGAATACTTTGAAAGAGAGTCAAAAGTAGAACGAAGAGCTCCTGACTTTTATCAGCAGGTTCATTTTCCCCTACATGTTTTTAGCTAAACTTGCTGTTAATTAAAAAAAATAGTTAAGCTGATATTTTTCCAGATTCTATTAGTTACCTTATAATAAACTAGCATTAACTTGATCCATTTTCTTTTCTGTGTTTACTGAATCCTTTTCCCAACTGTACTAAGGTATTGTAAGAATGGCACAACCTTAAATATAATGGTCTGAATAAATGGTAACTGTTCTTAATTTGATTTTTTTTCTACATA